TCCGAATCACATAGTAAAACAGTACGAAGCACATAGTACAGCAGTGCCAAGCACATAGTACAGCAGTGCGAAGCACATAGTACAGCAGTGCGAAGCACATAGTACAGCAGTACGGAGCACATAGCACAACAGTACGAAGCACATAGAACAGCAGTACTGAGCACATAGTACAGCAGTGCGAAGCACATAGTACAGCAGTGCGAAGCACATAGAACAGCAATGCGAAGCACATAGTACAGCAGTACGAAGCACATAGTACAGCAGTACGAAGCACATAGTACAGCAGTACGAAGCACATAGTACAGCAGTACGAAGCACATAGTACAGCAGTACGAAGCACATAGTACAGCAGTACGAAGCACATAGTACAGCAGTACGAAGCACATAGTACAGCAGTACGAAGCACATAGTACAGCAGTACGAAGCACATAGTACAGCAGTACGAAGCACATAGTACAGCAGTACGAAGCACATAGTACAGCAGTACGAAGCACATAGTACAGCAGTGCGAAGCACATAGTACAGCAATACGAAGCACACAGTACAGCAATACGAAGCACATAGTACAGCAATGTGAAGCACATAGTACAGCAATGCGAAGCACATAGAACAGCAATGCGAAGCACATAGTACAGCAGTACAACGCACATAGTGGTGCTTGCCTCCTTTCAGGCACCCTGTCTCTTATTGTAACTTTAGATGAAATCATTTGGAGATGGGGAGTAGTCACTGCTCTAACTCATTCACTCCTAAATTAATGTCAGCTTAAGCTACTGAACCCTGTACTGAACAGGCTTTTTACAACAAAGGAGCCAAGGAAATAAAGGAAAACATGTGAAAAGGAGACAAGAGCTCCACCGGCTGGCTGCATAAGAAAATGCAAAATATGTACTGTATATGCTATATTGATATGCTTGTGTCAGAGTGTTCTCCCTGCCTCTATTATCCTGTGTTACAGGAGGAAGCCATCAAGACAGATTCAGAATGCCGGTGTTAGCAGTACAATTCATGATTTTCTATGGATTTCCTAAATTCATTGTTGTTTTTTTTTATATCAGTTATGTTTGGCTATCAGGTTTTAAAATGCCTATTTTAAGGCTACATATATCAGGCATACATATAATCCTAGCACTTCTTCCATCACAAGTGCTTTTCCTACATGACAGGTTCTCTTTATTAGGTAGTCTTCCAGTGTTTCCATGCAGAGTTCATATAGGAAAGACATTTTATGTTCTTGTTTATACAGCAACAGTTGTTGCCGCTGTCCAGGGTTATAGTTATGTATTACCTGCAAGGCAAACACAACACAGAAATGTGCCACAGATATCAACTGTTTATTCAATATTAATTTATAGGGCAATGAAGGTAAATATGTCACTAAAAGCCAAATAAACCATCAGAAATTATCAACTGATCTGACTAATAAAACTGAAAGAAAAAATCATCATCACATACCCAAGCTAATTACTGAATGTAAACCACCCATAGAATCGTAGTGCCGGGTTTGTCAGATGATAGTTACACAAATATTTATCAAGTCACTATATTCAGGAAAATACATACTGAAACCTTCATTAGCAAAACATAATAAACCAGTGCAAGTCAACTTACTGGATGCAGGAGGACTCAAGTGCGGCCACCCCTGACATCAAAGGGTCGCATGTAAAGGAAAGAATAGAAAGCTGTAAGACTGCAGACATGCAACAAGAGAGGATCAAAGACTGGAGACATGGTGTAGCAGATGGTCAGAGACTGTAGGCATGGTGTAGGAGATGGTCAGAGACTGCAGACATGGTGTAGCAGATGGTCAGAGACTGCAGAGATGGTGTAGGAGATGGTCAGAGACTGCAGACATGGTGTAGGAGATGGTCAGAGACTGCAAACATGGTGTAAGAGATGGTCAGAGACTGCAGACATGGTGTAGGAGATGGTCAGAGACTGCAAAAATGGTGTAGGGGATGGTCAGAGACTGTGGTGCCTGCCCTGACTACTTCATTTCTGAAACATTACAAAAGTCTTAGACCTCTCCTCATCTCCATACCCCGCCCCCCTCATCTTCATAACTCCTCTTCTTCTCCAATCCTACCAGCAAAGACTACAAGAAATATTACAATACATTAGATCCTTGGTTCTCAACGGTGGGTTGTGACCCAAAAGTAGGTTGCAACCACGTGTTCAGTGGTTCCTCGACATGCCTTCCACTTTTCTAGCTGAAAGGCTCCTCAGCCTCCTGCTAGTGCAGCAATGTCAGTTCTCGCGCCAAGCAGCCATTCAAAATATGCTGCCTGGTGCAGAGTGTCAGCTTGAGATGGCGTGGGCTGGGGCTATGGCTGCGAAGGAGCCCCATTCATACATGCATTGCTTACGGCTCCCTCGCATATCCTGTAGAGGTGCCTGGACTGGAGTGACGCCAAATTCTGGCTCCCGACACCTCTACAGGGCGTGCAAAGGAGTTGTACAAGCAATGTACATATGGATGGAGCTCCATCACAGCACAGCACAGCAACCAACACTGGACCCCAGGCTGAGAATCCACTCCAGTTCTCGTAACATAGGAAGACTGGGTGCATCTTAAAAAAAAAATTACAAAAATAAAATGTTTCTTTTGGAGTGTCTATATGTGTGTGAGATTGTGTCTCTGGTAGTGTGTGTCCATCAATGTTTTTGAGGGCCTGTTCACACTAGTACAGTGCGTTAATTGAACAGACCTGTGCCATTAACACACTGTACCTACTATGCGTGCTGGTGTGGGAGGTCCGTTGCATTGCTATTAATTTGAATAGCACCCCAAACGCACCTCCCGCCCACAGTTCAATCACCCGCACTGGAATGCACAGTACCGCATTTCATGTTCATTCCGTTGCAGTGTGACTCGGGTCATGACTTAATAATGACCAAGGACAAATGTGGGTCCCCAGGTTACACAGGTTGAGAACCCCTGCATTAGATGGTCCAACTCTATGGCATTGACCAAAAACATGCAATATGTAACCCTTAAGCCAACTAAAGAGTAAGTGAAGATTTCAACTCATTGCTTTGTAGCCGTACAGTGTATTATGCAGACTCGAAGCGTGAAAAGACGGCTCAGTTTTTTTGCTACACTGTTTGACAAGCTCGGCACCAACATCGTCCTCATTGCAGAAACTCTATAGAGAAGGATTTCACAAACTCAAATAGTAAATTTTTATATGAAATGGAAATCCAAGTAACAAAGAAAGTTATCGTACCTTTTTTTACTTTTTTGCCAAAACTTCTTGCGACTTCCTGCAGAACAGCTGCTCCAGTAGTTGGATCTATCCCACCAAACACCCAGGAATCTCGATGGCCTCCCAAAATGATATAACGATCTACAGAAACATCAAACAAGAATGATATGAAGAATGCAGTGCAGTCTGCTAGGAGCGTCGAGGAAATACAGTTTCTTAGATTGATGCAGGCCTCATTCGGACAGCGTAAACGCGGGCCGTACACGTCAGTGCAACATTGACGCCCGTAGCAGGCCGTTCCCGGGAGCACAGGTGCTGTATGTAGCAGCCTGTTCTTCCTTATGGGAGGACACGATCGTATGGATAGGGGCGTATTTACCGCCAGGCAAACTAGGCGTTTGCCTAGGGCGGCACCCTCCGTGGGTGCCACCGTACGCAAACACCTAGTGCTGCGGTTCAGAAAAGGGGAGAGAACTGGAGGCCATCTTAGTGGCGGGGACGAGGACGGCGGCTTGCGGGGACGCGGATGGCGGCTTGCGGGGACGCGGACGGCAGTATGGATCCTGTCTGCGTCAGAGCACGGTCACCTGGAAACACACTGATGTGCAAATGACAGCGTACGGCTGCGTCCTCCCATAAGGCCTTCAAGTGGTTGTAAACCCCCCCCAAAAATAGTAATACAGCCTGCTACAAAAAAATTCTCACAGCAGGTGCTCATTTCTTTCACAGGAATGTTATTAATATCAGAAAAGAACGATACCTCCAGAGGGACGACATGAAAGAAAAAAAAAAACCACAGGAGTTGAAATACTGTTTACAGTTGTGTGAAAAAGAAAGTACACCCTCTTTGAATTCTGTGGTTTTAAGTATCGGGGCACAATAAAAATCAGCTGGTCCTCATTGGGTCTTAAAATTAGGTAACTACATTAAGTCAAAATGGCATTTATATACCTGCAATAAATACATATTTACATATACGGTACATTCACATCAGTCCCTGCCCTCAAGGAGCTTACAATCGAAGGTCCTTACCTTACATACGCATGCCAGGGCCAATTTAGACAGGAGTCAATTAACGTACTAGCATGTCTTTGTAGTGTGGGAGGAAACCCACATATGCAGAGAAAATACGCAAACTCCATGCAGATGATGCCATTAATGATGATTCCAATGCTGCTTGGCAGAAGTGGTAAGCGATATGCCAATGTGCTGCTCCTTTCATGTTCATCTAATTTATTATACAATTTAAAGGTATCTATATACTAATTTCAGCGAACCTCCTCCTGAAAATGTTGTGCTTCCCCAAAACAAGCTACATCAACAACTGCAAATCCATCATCCAGCTAAATCAAGAGGTTTTCTAAGGCCAGCGTCACACCTGTGCGGACCGTGACCGCGCGGCAATCGTGCACGATACCGTGCAGATTGCCGTGCGGTCACAAGGTCCCCCACAACCGCCAATCACACTGGCGGTGGCACTATTTTCTAATGGCACCGCAGTTGCATCGGGCGGATCGCGAGGATTCCGCCCCTGCAATCGAAAATGATTGCAGCTAAAACAACTGCGTGTCGTGCGTCTCAAAAAAAGGTACATGTACCTTTTTACTGCGATTGACGCGCAGATGTAACCCCATTGAAATAAATGGGGCAGCGCGGCAATCGCTGTCTGCATTGTGCACGAAAGGAAAGATTTACTGTATATATCTCTGGGCTCCATCTAGTGGCCTTAATGCGGTCTTTTCCTGAAAAGAAAATATATAACGTTTGTCTTTGCCCCACATTTAAACAGAAGGAATGTACATACAGTTGTGCAGGGCGAATGGCTATGCAATTTTTTTTTATAAATACACCCCTTTTAGTTTGCATCTGAATAAATAAAACAATACACTTCACATCAATACATTTTAAATGAATATACATCCCTTCCCATGAGATATTTCCTTATATCAAAACACAAGACACTATCGTATACCATCAAATCACATTCTGAGGCTCATACCTGGTTCCACGGCCCCTCGGATGGTACCAATGACATCATAAATCCTTGTGACTTCATTGTTTGTGTAAACATGCATTCTTACCTGCCTGTGACAAATAAAAGGGAAACCATCATCATGTTTAAGATATATTAGTTAATATAATCAGTAATATTATAATATTTTTCCTGAATTATAATATTTCTACATTGCTAATCTGCTAAAAAATTACTTTAATAATAAATCTGCAAATACAAACAGTATAGTCATACGTGCTCACCGGAGATTTGTGATTCTGGAAAAATATGGTAATTTAGTATAAATCAGACTTACGGGTAAAAAGAAATGGCAGTATTACAGTGTTGAATCTAAACGCACACTCCGGCATTGGCTCTGGAATATTATTTTGTCAATAGAATGAGTCAAAAGTAACCAGATTTCAAAGGGCTGCCATAATAATGATAGCAAGGGTCATAGTAATAAGAAGACATTAGATGACGCAGGAGCAGTTCTTGGCGTAAACAAGCCTCCCATCCATTCCAATCAACAATCTGGGACACATTCAAGATAATTTTTCACAAAGCAAAAGTCCACATGGAAGCTTTAAAAGATGTACAATTCTCTAAATCCAGGACTGTATGTGGTGTCCCATGCGGTAAAGCAGGGGTGTCTCATTGCTACATAGTACGCAGGAAGAGATTTAGAAGATTAGCTTCCATATTAAGTTTTTTCATGTATGCGATTCCTTTTAAGCTCTACCCACAGTTCTTCCAAGCATCAATTGTGAGATTTAGCTTCCAATGGTAGCGCATTAAGGACGCTTCCACTCGCTTATAACTTCTTTTAAGGGCTTCCTTGCCCACTTTTATTAAATGAACATTAACAAAACGATGTAATTACCCTCGCAGGGGTTCTTTATCCCAGAAATACAGGCACATCCAACCTCCTGGCTTTCATTCACAGCACTGCTGCTCCAGCCTCAGGCCACTGTCTGTTCCTCCAGACGGTCTCGTGCTAACCTGCACAATAGGTCCCACAACCCCGCAGCTCCCTGCTGCACTGGCCTCCACTCTGACTCCTGAGTGGAGTTCTCCTGACTCACAGGTGGGGCCCTGAACATAAGCCAGCATTCTTCTCATAAGGGCTGTGCCCAGGTGCACAATGTTTCAGTGCTGGTTACCCCTAAAGCCTGGACCCAGGAATGGAGATTTCATCCCTCCCAATGTTCTTTGAAATCTCCCAGTTCCAGGAACCCATGCCAAATCAGGAAAACCTGGGAAGAACTGCAAAGCCAGCTCTTTCCCAGTCAACATTTGCACTTTCTGGAACTGCTCAGCCCCCCTGGCTGAGAGACCTGGGTGACTATATTGCCAAAAGACACCCTGGCATTGCCACGCACTGCCACACAATGTATAGCTGGGTGGTGGAAAATGACACTCTCCAATGAGCCTGAAGGTGGCGGGTGGGTGAACCAAACTGGGTTGCCACCAATCCCAGGCTCATCACTAATTCTAGTTCCAAAAAGCAGGTGCCACAATCACACATTTCTAAAAAAACAATGGGAGGTGCAAAGCAAGCTGCTGTGCTGTTTAGATAAACAATAGTGCTCTGGAAACCCTTTGTCATGTATTAAAGAAGTCTTATCATACATATTTTCTGTTCTCCCAATCCCCCAGGAGAAAAAGTGCATGAAGCACTTTGTCCCGTTTTCATCGGTGCTGTGAATACTGGGCTAGTGCTGCTCAGTAGGAGATGAATACCTAAGTAGGTGAACATTCGAGGCCAGCTCCATCACTACTGATGCAAGAGGAGGTGTATGCCAGCGCAACTGTAAACACATACACAGGGCTTTCCTTACAGCACAGGGGATGGCAGGAACAGAGCTCTGCTTGAGCGCCACAAAGTGAACGCCCACAAATCGGGCTTCATGCAGGGGAGGAGCTGACAGGCAATAACAGCAGCCATAAAGATGTGACTTACTGGAGAACTCGGTAGATGGGGAAGCCTTCCGCACACCTTGCAGCAATCCAGGCCTATGTAGAAAATGGTGCTCGCAGTGACAACCACGGATGGCACTGTGTAGACACAGAGTAGAGACATTTTTCTGCCCTGAGGAATGAACCCTGTGTGGTTCCGAAACATTGGCTTGCTGTTACTGTCACGTTTTGGCCAATTAAATGGACATGTTTGATGATATCATTGAGTGCTGGTGATTTGTGTCTTTACTGGGAGGAGAACTGTTCAGTTCTTTTTAAAAAAACGTAAATCAATAGACCAGCTGTTATTTTTGTTGTTGATGAAACCTCTTCTTTAATAAAAACTATGATGAATATGGGACATTATTGTAGTGGTTTTATATAGTTCTTTTTTTTTTTACCAGGGTCTATGTACTATATTTGCTTTACAAATACTAATTTAAAATCTGCACAGTTAGGAGGTTTGGGCATAGACTAAAACAGTATTAAAAACAAGTATCTGTGCTACCTGCTTGAATAGTTGCTCACAAATCCAGGTCACAGTATTACAGTGTTGAATCTAAACGCACACTCCGGCATTGGCTCTGGAATATTATTTTGTCAATAGAATGAGTCAAAAGTAACCAGATTTCAAAGGGCTGCCATAATAATGATAGCAAGGGTCATAGTAATAAGAAGACATTAGATGACGCAGGAGCAGTTCTTGGCGTAAACAAGCCTCCCATCCATTCCAATCAACAATCTGGGACACATTCAAGATAATTTTTCACAAAGCAAAAGTCCACATGGAAGCTTTAAAAGATGTACAATTCTCTAAATCCAGGACTGTATGTGGTGTCCCGTGCGGTAAAGCAGGGGTGTCTCATTGCTACATAGTACGCAGGAAGAGATTTAGAAGATTAGCTTCCATATTAAGTTTTTTCATGTATGCGATTCCTTTTAAGCTCTACCCACAGTTCTTCCAAGCATCAATTGTGAGATTTAGCTTCCAATGGTAGCGCATTAAGGACGCTTCCACTCGCTTATAACTTCTTTTAAGGGCTTCCTTGCCCACTTTTATTAAATGAACATTAACAAAACGATGTAATTACCCTCGCAGGGGTTCTTTATCCCAGAAATACAGGCACATCCAACCTCCTGGCTTTCATTCACAGCACTGCTGCTCCAGCCTCAGGCCACTGTCTGTTCCTCCAGACGGTCTCGTGCTAACCTGCACAATAGGTCCCACAACCCCGCAGCTCCCTGCTGCACTGGCCTCCACTCTGACTCCTGAGTGGAGTTCTCCTGACTCACAGGTGGGGCCCTGAACATAAGCCAGCATTCTTCTCATAAGGGCTGTGCCCAGGTGCACAATGTTTCAGTGCTGGTTACCCCTAAAGCCTGGACCCAGGAATGGAGATTTCATCCCTCCCAATGTTCTTTGAAATCTCCCAGTTCCAGGAACCCATGCCAAATCAGGAAAACCTGGGAAGAACTGCAAAGCCAGCTCTTTCCCAGTCAACATTTGCACTTTCTGGAACTGCTCAGCCCCCCTGGCTGAGAGACCTGGGTGACTATATTGCCAAAAGACACCCTGGCATTGCCACGCACTGCCACACAATGTATAGCTGGGTGGTGGAAAATGACACTCTCCAATGAGCCTGAAGGTGGCGGGTGGGTGAACCAAACTGGGTTGCCACCAATCCCAGGCTCATCACTAATTCTAGTTCCAAAAAGCAGGTGCCACAATCACACATTTCTAAAAAAACAATGGGAGGTGCAAAGCAAGCTGCTGTGCTGTTTAGATAAACAATAGTGCTCTGGAAACCTTACACAAACCTCATACATATTTTCTGTTCTCCCAATCCCCCAGGAGAAAAAGTGCATGAAGCACTTTGTCCCGACTTTGTCATGTATTAAAGAAGTCTTATCATACATATTTTCTGTTCTCCCAATCCCCCAGGAGAAAAAGTGCATGAAGCACTTTGTCCCGTTTTCATCGGTGCTGTGAATACTGGGCTAGTGCTGCTCAGTAGGAGATGAATACCTAAGTAGGTGAACATTCGAGGCCAGCTCCATCACTACTGATGCAAGAGGAGGTGTATGCCAGCGCAACTGTAAACACATACACAGGGCTTTCCTTACAGCACAGGGGATGGCAGGAACAGAGCTCTGCTTGAGCGCCACAAAGTGAACGCCCACAAATCGGGCTTCATGCAGGGGAGGAGCTGACAGGCAATAACAGCAGCCATAAAGATGTGACTTACTGGAGAACTCGGTAGATGGGGAAGCCTTCCGCACACCTTGCAGCAATCCAGGCCTATGTAGAAAATGGTGCTCGCAGTGACAACCACGGATGGCACTGTGTAGACACAGAGTAGAGACACAAATCACCAGCACTCAATGATATCATCAAACATGTCCATTTAATTAGACAAAACATCACAGTAACAGCAAGCCAATATTTCGGAACCACACAGGATCCCTTCCTCAGGGCAGAAAAACATTTTTCTGCCCTGAGGAATGAACCCTGTGTGGTTCCGAAACATTGGCTTGCTGTTACTGTCACGTTTTGGCCAATTAAATGGACATGTTTGATGATATCATTGAGTGCTGGTGATTTGTGTCTTTACTGGGAGGAGAACTGTTCAGTTCTTTTTAAAAAAACGTAAATCAATAGACCAGCTGTTATTTTTGTTGTTGATGAAACCTCTTCTTTAATAAAAACTATGATGAATATGGGACATTATTGTAGTGGTTTTATATAGTTCTTTTTTTTTTTACCAGGGTCTATGTACTATATTTGCTTTACAAATACTAATTTAAAATCTGCACAGTTAGGAGGTTTGGGCATAGACTAAAACAGTATTAAAAACAAGTATCTGTGCTACCTGCTTGAATAGTTGCTCACAAATCCAGGTCCAATATTATAGGAGACATTAAGATTTCCTTTCCATGATTTTGGTGGAGCTGGTCCTCCCATAACACTGTATAAAAAAAAAAAGGCTTTAATGTTGCTGGGTTGTATATCTCTGTATAAAAGAAGGTTTGGTTTAATCGAAACTCTCACTTACTTGAGTATCTTTTCTGCATCATGGTAACCTATAGGATGTACAGGAATGCTGGGCAGTCCCACTCCTTCATCGGCCTTGTATCTATACATAAACTCTGACAGCACAAAAAACCCAAATACAATCTTGTTACACAAATGACAGATCCTTATACAAAGTCCAACATTAGAAAGCAGATGCCTCACCCATTCAAATCTCCAGTAACTGTATCACTTTTTGTTAGAGGTTTGGCTGGGAGTCTTGAAAAAGGCCGTATGCATAACACACAAGATGGAGGTATCTGTTAACTTTGCTATCACAATTAATGGACACATACACTAATATTATGGTGCTGTGAACACTTTACATGTGGTCGTAATAGTCTTTCATTGTGCTTTTACAAAGTTGAAATAACTGTATTTACACAATATGATTTCTTATTTTTCCTTATATGGTAAAATAAGCTGTGGATTACCGTGATCTTTCTACAATGGGGAGGTGTTGAAAAAAGAAGGGGGATCATAGGTGCGGGTCAGTGACCCCATGGAGCTGGAAAGTGTCATGCATCAGCTATTTCAGGGGCTCCAAGTAAAAGTTTTCCATCTGTTTCCTCTGTAAACCTGAATTTTCCCTTTTATCCTTTCATGAAGTGAAACATAGCAGTATCAGTATGTTAACTTGACAATTGTAGGACTAATGTGCCTTAAAGTTTTTTTTTAATATATTTATTTTTTTACATTTTATTTTGTACACTGTTTAAAGAAAAACTATGTTCAGCTTTTTTTTACTGCATTGAAAATAGGCACACTGCAATCTGATGAAGGCTGGAGCTTGCACGTAATCACTACAAATGGTCATCATATACTTGGAAACCATGCTGCTTGGTCCCTGATCTCTAGGGGAAGATCCAAAGCTTTTGCAGATCAAAGAACTAGGAACATGTACAGGTGACCATTCCTACAGCTCAGCTAGAACATTAAATCTCTCAAAACATATTGTTCCATTCCTGATAATGTTAGCAGTCAGACTGCAAACACCCAGGGGTCAGAAAATGAGGTCACTGTTAAATAAAGTCTGCATTTTGCAGTAAGCAGGCCATGCTATCTAATCCAGAAACATAACTTTTTCCCCCCATCCGGTGTCTACTATAAATGCATATCTCTTAGTGATTCTGTAACTTTTCAGTATTCCTTGTTTTACCGACCTTTAGCAGGGTAACCTGGAGTTAGAGGGTCTCCAGCTCCATTCAGATTCAGCACATTTCCTCTCTGGGCTCCACCACCAGGTAAGTTCCAGCCTTCTGGATAGGGTTTAACGCCAGGGGAGCAGTAATCAGCTGGATCAGAAAACAGGATAAGTCCTTTGGCACCAGCCAAGATGGCATTTTTTACCTGTAAGGAGGAATACAAAACTGGAATGGGCTGCAGTACTCTTAAAGTCAGATTGATTAGGGCAATGCAAAGAGCAGTGATAATGCACAAACAGTGGTGACCCATAGCATTCAATCAGAAGTCATATTTCACCAACCCCTCAACTTGGAACTCAAAGGGGGTGATTTACTAACCTAAACACACACACACACCAGGTGTGTGTGATTTTCACACAGAAAAACGTATTTATCAACCAAAAAGTCTCTAAAAGAATATTTCCACTAATGCCATATATGGAAAAATCATGCACATGATGCATATATAATGCTGCTTCACAGTTTAGACAAAAATGGTTAGCTCATGCATTTACATTCCTTGCATTCATCAACGCAAGCAACACAACATAGAGCTAATTTACACAACATCACCTTGGAATTCCTTCAGGGCTTTGCACAACACACCTGCTGGGTGTGTACACATTACAAAGGTGTTTAGATTCCAACCATAGATCATGCTGGGAGGGAACACACTGCAGAGGTGTATACACGTTCGTGGTGTGTTTATAAGGTTAGTAAATCAACCCCAAAGTCTCTGTGGGTTAATGCGTACTATCTCTGAAACTACCAAAAGGGAGAGGGAAACATCCAAAGTATTGCTATTGCATGACCACAAATCTATGTCACATAGCGCTGGGGTGTGTTGCTAATTCCTATCTTTGAAAGGGAACCTTGTAATTGTAAGCTTATTTTGACTAGCAATGCCACCAAATCAAGTTCGGTGGGATCAACTGTTCAACCCTAATGTATATTAAGATGGAAATGTTTCCAACTTTGGTTCTTCGCAGCTCTTGCTAGTCTTAGTGTGGAGGAGGGACAAGACCTGGAAGTGTTCCCTCCTCTTGTCATCCTTTTGCTGCAGCACCACTAAATGGCTATTTGCACTGCTTCTCCTTCTCTCTGAGCTCTGCTGTATAGTAGACTGCAAGAAGCCGATACCAAGTAAAAATTCATGTATGTGCGGTACTTGTATTTAACAATAAATTTCATCAATGTATTAATGATTACTGAGCTGCATTATTGTGTGTCCCTGGAGTTCAGCTAAGATTGAATAAGTGTTGAAACGCCCATGAAGTCTCTACTTCGGTTTGTATACCCACTAGGGTGACCCACCCAGTTTGCTCTGGTGCCCATTGTCTGTGGTACAGGAAGTGATGGGAAATCCAACATTTTACAGTTGGCACAGGAACAAGGAGTCACCTGTACCAGCAAGAACTAAAAAAAAAAACAACAAACAAACCAGGCAACATGACAGTGGTTCCAAAAATTCCTTAACGTGAGACTAAATCCAGGACTTAAATCTTAAAAATACATTATTATTATACAGGATTTATAGAGCGCCAACAGTTTGCTCAGCGCTTTACAAAATTGAGGGAGACAATACAATTAACAATACAATTTCAGTACAGGACATAGGAGGGCCCTGCTCGTGAGAGATTACAATCTAGTAGGAGGGGCAACTGGAAAGGTAACAACTTTGAGATGATTTAATGGAAGAACTGAAAGTAATGGGGTGGAATAGGCCTCCCTGTAGAGATCAGTTTTCAAGGATCGACTAAAAGGTGGACAGAGTAGGAGATAGGTGGGCAGATTGGGGTAGAGAGTTTCAGAGAATGGGGGACACTCTGGAAAAGTTCTGAAGACGAGCATGCAAAATGGTGACAAGATAGCTGAAGAGAGGGAGGTCTTGGGAAGAGCGAAGGGGGTGGTTTGGGTGGTATTTTGAGATAAAATGGGTGATGTAGGTTGGGGCGGAGTTGTAGATGGCTTTGTATGTTATTGTTAGTATTCTAAATGTTATATTCCTTAACTATTAACAAAAATGTATTTTATTTGTGTATCACTGGGCTGTAGATCGTCAAATCATCTCGGAATTGGTGCTGACACTGTCCTTCCTTCTGGAGGGTGGCTACTTTTGTTCCCCATGGTCCCTGTGTGTGTTGTAAAGCAGCCACCACTCCAAGCTCACTCGCGTGATGGACTACAATTAGTATTCCATCACGGAGCGAGCTTGCAAACGTAGCCACCCTCCAGAAATCAGCATGATCACCAAACAAGAGAAAAAAGAAAGAGTTTCCCATTCCTTGACTTGTTAAAATTCTTCAACTCACCTTATCCTCACCCCTTTCCCCCTACATTTTTCTTTCTGAATGTATCCATACATTTCCAGAGTTGGTGAACAGAGGAAAACAATACAAGACAGAAAACATTCTCAGGGGTGTCATTATGATAATAAAGCCCGGAGTACAGCCCCCAAATCGCAGACACGGCTAAGATGTAACTGAACAATGTGCTGACTGGTCTTCTTCTCCCACCCATGAACTGTTGAGTGAGACGTAACAGTTGGTAGACCTCAGCAGATCATTAACAGAAGATCTCCCCAGTAATTGGTGTGGAAGGGATAATTACATCATGACAGACTTGAGTTCAAGTTGTCAAAAAGGTCAGTTGGTGAGACTTTTGACCTGGTGGCAAGCCAGAGATGTAGCACAAGATACAAACTCACTTACACATTAAACCGCAGTTCAGTGGGGCAGGTTACTAAATAAATTAACCAGGTTTTCCATACATTCCAGGAATAACAGCTTGGGCTGTTTGAGTGGGGGTTACCACACATTAAGCAGAGGACGCTATAAGCAAAAATGCTGTTTTAAGCGGGAGTCATCACTTTATTTAAGTTGAGCTATCACATACTTAATCAGGACACCAGCTGTACTTAATTGAAAGTGTACAATTGTTCTACAGCCTGAAGGACCAGTGTGCCATTGTTATGAGGCCCAGTAGACTCAGGTTTTATTGTTCTGGATTCTGATAGACCAGTAAGCCATTATTTTGGGACTCAGAAGACAAGGGTGTCATTGTTCTGAGGCCCAGAGAACCATTGTGCCATTGTTCTCGGCCCCAAAGGACCATGATACCAATATTCTGGGGCCCTCAGGATCATTGTTCTAAGTCCCAGAGGACCAGGGTGTCATTTTTCCAAGGCCCAAAGGACCTTGTGTGCCATTGTTTTTTTAGGGCCCAGAGGACCAAGCTGCCATTGTTCTGGGGCCCTGAGGACCAATTTGCTATTTTTCCTAGGTCTGGTAGAGCAGCATGCCATTGTTCTCGGGCACACTGTTACTTATTAAGGATTCAGAGGACCAAATTGCCATTTTACTGGGGCCCTGTGTGCCATGTTCTATTGTTGGACCTTGTTGGATGGGACCTGGTAACAAATGGCCACTGTTCTGGAACCTTGAGTAAAAAGAGCAATGAAAGTCTATACTTTATGTGTTAGAGATCATTAGTTCCTTATCAAGTGATTGACTGTAATCTACAGATCTGGTAATGGCCCATTACGGTTTGTAAATCACAATCCACAATGCTGGGCATGTGCTGAACTGCTGCTACAATATAAACTCTCGTCTCATATATCTCTTTGAAGGTAGCCAGAAGCTTAAACTCCGTAATCGTCTTACTTTATTTCCTCGGAAGATCTTGCCATATCTGGCGATCACAATTTTCCCGGCGCAGTTGATACTCAAGTTTCTCTGCAGAAAGAAAAAGTCCTCGGTGCGAGCATAGTTCACGTACACCAGATCTCCCTGCAAAATAAACCTTAAATTATATTTTGACGAGTGCAAAAATGAGAAAAAAAACACATCAGCTTGCTTATATCGTTCAGTATCTAGTTACCCATGGCTAACCTTTGCAGCAGATGATAAACGATTGACGTACTAATCCCTCTGAACGTCACTGCAATGTGACAGTGTACTGAAAGTGCATCATTGTTCCATTGTTCTGAGACAATGTAGACCAGGGTGCCATTGTTCTGGATCCTGATAGCCCAATAGTCTGGGGGCACGGAGGACCAGTGTGACATTGTTCTGGGACCCAAAGGACCAGGATACCATTTCTCTGGGCCACGGTGGACCAGTGTGCTATTGTTATAAGGCCCAGCAGACTATTGTGCCATTGTTTTAGGGCCCAAAGGACCAGGGTACCAATATTCTGGGGCCCAGAGGACAATGGTACCATTTTTCTTGGGCCCAAAAGACCATTGTGTCATTGTTGGCCTGATAGATCAGCGTGCCATTGCCCTGTGCCACAGAAAACCACTGTGCAATTTATTATGGATAAAGAAGACCAAATCTCCATTCTACTGGGCCCCTATGGGCATTGTTCTATTGTTCTGGAAATTTGGCTATGGGCAGTCTTAGATGACAAAGGCAAGTGCAGCCTGTAGCAGTCACAACAAAGAGCTAAGGGTCTCTTCTATATGTTTTGTATCAGACTGCTGCAGAGACACTCCTACTCTTACACAGAACTTGGTGGTCCATCTCTGCAGCCTTCTGCATGAGCCTTTAATTTTAGGCTGCTTCTGGTGAGCTAGTTCTCTACTAATCGCAGGAAGAACCTTACATTTAGCCCCCATTCACACTTGTGTATCATGTAAATCCCATGATTTTGCGAACCTTCATGAAACACATGAAAATCGCGTATCATGCTTGCGGTGCCATGCACTGTTAATTGCACCCTAAATGTGCAAAGCAAGATGCATATTTTTCATGCTGTAGACATGCGACAAACACTTAAAAATAACATGGGACAAGCAAAGATCAAAAAGGCACATGACATGAGCTTCTTAGTTGTGTTGGTAGAGTGTAGGGCAGCTCACTTAAATAAATGGGCGACAAACACGCTAAAATGCAACAAGTGATGCCGCCCATCTCAAGGTTGAATAGGACCTTACGTGGAATATCTCGTCTTAAGCTTCATTTGGACCTAAATGGGCAAAAAATCCGAAATCTCAATGGCAATGCAGTGTATCAGCTGGTACTGTGTTTGTGGTGTAGCACTGGAGGGCTGGGATCAATTCTCATTATGGGTTTTTATTCATGAAATTGGTATTGGTACCCAATTCTTTGTGGGATTTTGCCAAGAGCTCTGGTTTCATTCCACAAAATTGGATTCTACTTAAATCGGTCCGTGTGCGTGTGTGTGTGTTCATAGGACTATTAGCTTGAAGCTAGAAGACTGCACAACGTAACATTCACAGTCTATGAATATAAAACAAGCATGTAGACATGAAATATGTCCAGACGCCAAGGTCAGACCTGCTTACCTCTGGTTCCCCCTGAGCCGAAAATGCATTATATGGAGGGACTATATCTGTGAAGTTTTCATATCCTTCTGGAGGTGGTTCTGATAAAGAGGTGTTAAATACCTGGAAAAACAAGAATTAAAATATTAGAATTTAAATATTTTATTGCGGACTCACCCGGGACCTGGACATGGGAGGTGCTGTCAGTTCACCTTTTCATTTTTTGTGATAGGTAAACATATCCTTTTTTTCTTCAATGGTGGTGGCTGAAAGTGTATCTAAATAAATATGAGACATCAGAGTTTGAAACTTTAGCCCATTCCAGGACTGGGGGGGAGGAAGCCAGATCAACGTATCCCTCAGGTTTCCCACCCCCTCCTCCATCTAAAATATTTGAGTGCAGTTTTTGTTTCCTTCAAAAATGTTAATCAGAGTGCCACCCGACTGGAAATAATACTTTCGGATAAACATAGAAGAACAATCAGCTTACCTCTGTTCCATGTTCGTCAATAACAGAGATATAATTGGGCTTGCTGCTGTTGGGATAAGAGAGCAGGACGTCATAATGGACTAACTCTGCACTATCCAGACCAAAATCCCTCCATTGGGCTTGGATTCGTTGGGCCAGGTTGAGGTTCTGCTCTGTCCCGGCCAGATGAGGAACTTTTGTGAAATCCCTGAAATAATGAGACAATAAAAAAAGGTAAAAAAGAGGCAAGAAAGACACGGGCCTACGCTCCTGAGCTATGCAAATAACTGAATGTCTGGAACACAGTCTTGTCTAATTAGATCTCGGCTTAAGAACAATATTGGGGAATTAAAATGTTTGGAATATTTTCTTGACAGGGGATGCAGAGGACTAAACTATGACCACAATGTGTAATATAGGTATGCAAGAGAACACTGTATAAAAAGATAAATGCAAAATATATTATTATATACAGTACATATGCACCGATTTCCTGGATTGTAAATTGTACTGGCCCCTAAAGTGTATCTGAACCCAACAGCAAAAATATAATATATTTACAATACAAGACAGTGTGCAGCATGTAATGAAAATAATTTCTTACTGTAAAAACTTTTTTATGTTTTCCACCTTCATTTCCAATATAAGCTCCTTTCGGACATCTATTGGTTTATGGTAGGCATTCATCCGATCTTCTGTTGGCTTGACGAGCCATCCTGGGGGCAAAATAGCAAAAAATGTCATGGAAGAAAGAAAGAAAAACAAAAAAAAACAAGAACAGAAGAAGAACTCCAGTGCCATGGAAAGCCATTGAATCCCACTAAACCACTAAATCCCACCAATGACCCCTTTAACATTGTTGCCCAGCAATGGCAGATCTGCAATCCAGGACCTGACGACCTGAGATATATGATGGCTGATTTGCTAAAAGAAGGAGAGGATGTTCACTTTGGAAAGTTAGTCTGTTCGCTTCACTTACCACTTATAGGAAAAGCAAAATCCTGTTTAATTATTTCATCTACTGATGAAGGGACCCTTCAGTTGGCAAAACATACAAAACACCAAGGTGGGTGGGAACTTATCCAAGAACGAGAACAATCTCACTTCTGAGGTCCTCAGCAAATACAAGATGAGGGTGATTCATTCCACCAGGGTCTAAATGTAACCAAAATATCACTTGTGGGTGGACTGACCTTTTAAAAACAAGCCTCGGTGTCGTCACCTATATGACGGTTTCCAAAAAGTTTCCTCTGTCAATGTTTTCCTCGTCTTTGTGTACTCTTTTCCTTTATAACCAACATGTGACACTGCTGCAAGCTATGTGCAAAGTTCCGTTTGGAATTCATTAGCTAAATAATAATTATGAGCTTTCATCTGTACCCGGCGAGATGTTTTGCTTTTCTCATCATAAGAAGAGAAGTCGTCTACAGTCACAGTAATGGAGCTTACTCTGAAACAAGATTAATGCCCCTTACACAACCGGTGTGCATTTTCTCCAACAAAACTTCCAGCCAATCAACATCTGACTTTGCCATCATTATTTTAAAGTGAGTAAGAGTGTGAATCCTTGCTAACAAGAGCACTGAGAGCCAGAATGAGTCTAGAAAAGTGAACCATTCTGCTTCACCCCTCCAACCCTCTTCAATCCATACCAACTTTATAAAGGGAAAAAAAAAAATTGAATTTAAAGTTATGAGTGTCAGAAGATGCTTCCTTGGCTCACGGTGTTAGCGGTCAAACTGCACATTATATATAGACAATGAACACTATACCTTCAACATGACCGACCACTGGACACAACCATAGTACAATGCTTTGACACTCTATGCATTGAACATTACACCCCCAACATGACCGACCACTGGACACCATCATAATACAATTCTATTACACTCTATACATAGAATACTGCACCCCCAACATGACCGACCACTGGACATCATCATAATACAATCCTATTAGACTCTATACATAGAACACTACACCCCCAACATGACCGACCACTGGACATCATCATAATACAATTCTATTAATTTTACACAGATTTGTTTATTTACACTTTAGTGTGTAGTTGGTTCACATAGACCGAGCGCAACATATTTGCTTTACATAATACAATTCTATTACACTCTATACATAGAACACTACACCCCCCAAAATGGCTGTCCACTGGACGTGATCATAATACAATTCTATTACACTCTATACATAGAACACTACACCTCCAACATGACCGACCACTGGACATGATCATAATACAATTCTATTACACTCTATACATAGACCACTACACCTCCAACATGACCGACCACTGGACATGATCATAATACAATTCTATTACACTCTATACATAGACCACTACACCTCCAACATGACCGACCACTGGACATGATCATAATACAATTCTATTACACTCTATACATAGACCACTACACCTCCAACATGACCGACCACTGGACATGATCATAATACAATTCTATTACACTCTATACATAGACCACTACACCTCCAACATGACCGACCACTGGACATGATCATAATACAATTCTATTACACTCTATACATAGACCACTACACCTCCAACATGACCGACCACTGGACATGATCATAATACAATTCTATTACACTCTATACATAGACCACTACACCTCCAACATGACCGACCACTGGACATGATCATAATACAATTCTATTACACTCTATATATAGAGCACTACACCCCCAATATGACATGACAATAATGGGGAAAATATCACCTGCAGGGAGACCATAGAACAGTGGTTCTCAACCTGTGTAACCTCAGGACCCACATTTGTCCTCGGTCATTAAGGCGTGACCCAAGTCTCACTGCAATAGAACGCATGGCATTAGGGCACCGCGCGCTCCAGTGAGGGTGTACAAACTGTCGTTGGTAGGTGCGTTTGGGGTACCATTCAAATGAATAGCAATGCAGCACACCTCCCACACACGAATGCATGGTAGATGCGATCGCATGGTGTGGGCTGCTGTGCTGTAGCTCAATCCATATGTGCATTGCTTACATAGCTCCCTTGCGTGCCCTGTAGAGGTGGCGGGAGCCAGAATGTGATGTCACTCCGGTCCAGGCACCTCTACAGGACATGTGAGGAAGCTGTAAGCAATGCACGTATGGATGGAGCTCCTTCGCGTCCATACCCTCAGCCCACTCCACCTCAAGCTGACACTCGGCGCAAGGCAGCATATTTTGAATGGCTGCTTGGCATGAGAACTGACAGTGCTGCTCTAGGGGGAGGCAGAGGAGCCTCTCACCTAGAAAAGTAGAAGGCATGCAGTGACCCACTGAACACGGGGTCACGACCCACCAGTTGAGAACCAAGGCCATAGACAATACTGGTGACTAGTCCTTTGACCTCTTTTATGGGCACTGCTTCCACATTTCAGTTCCTCTTTAACTCAAACACTTAGGGGCTGCTGTATAAACCTTACACCCAGTGTAAAGCTGATAGAATACTGTTCCTGCACCATTACCACTACTAGCTGGTGCTGAGGAGCAACTTCCTGTGCTCTCCCCTCTCCTTACTGTTATCAGTTAGCACTGTTGCCAGCTATCTCTGTGGGATACAGAACATGTTCCCTATTGTATTAAAAATGAGAAAAGGGGGACATGTTCTGCAGTGCTAACACTTCCTGTCCTATGGAGACCAATCTGCTCCTCCTTAGTACAGTACAGTGAGCGTTGCCACCTTGGGAGAGGATGTGCGTTACTGGCAGGATCACCAGGTGATAATAAAAGAGAAACAAGTAAAGGATGCAGCTGCCTTATCTAAGAACCAGAAAGCTGAAACATATTTAAAGGGCGAGTTCACTTTCCCCCAAGTAATTTGGGAAAATGTAATTACATGCTCTAAGCCCCCTCTCCTACTATACTTAGGTTTTAGCGAATGCTCCTTCCCCTCTGCCGGTACGAGTGTACTGTCCATACCAGTGCCGTGCCTTCTGTGCTGGGTGAGGCATCCTCCATCCCGCCGAAGCTCCGCCTCCAGCCCGGTAACCAAGCTGTGTGGGAGGAGGAAGGGAGGAGACAGGGGGGAGCCTCTCTCTCCCTCTCTTGCTCGTCACTGGTGAGGCATCGAGATTGATGTCCTCACTGTTTTTTTGTTTTCTTTTTTTTGATTGGAGAGCTTGGACCAATGGCTCTTTGCCATTGGTCCAAGCCATCCACAGAGCTCACGCCTCTAAAACAGAGTAGAGGCTGTGACAGCTCTTGCCTCGCCAAGTTAGGTTGCACAAGCAGTGGGGAAGCCCGCTTCTGTGTAATCCTAACTTAGCTGTCAAAAGCCGGTGTTCTATCAAAAGCTCCAACTCGACGAAATCTCCAACTACCTCCCTGCCGGGTACTTCCAAGTTCGAGATTTCGACCAGATGGCGTTAGACTGCAAAACAGAAAAGAGCTGGCAGGTGAAGCTGGGGATTTTTTGTGTTTTGTACTGCAAAACACAAAGACTGACGGAGCTCTGTACAGCTGCATTTTAACAACATTCAGCAGGTGGCAAAGTCAACGACTATTCTGAAAACGGATGCAATGATGCCTGCAATTAACAGGCAGCGCCCCGTCCAATGACAGCTTTAACAGCAGGGAGACTTTCCCTGCTGTGTAACCTGTAACAATGGATACAAAGCTGTCAGCTTCACACTTGAAGCTGACACCTTTTTTCTTCATAATACTAGGTGAGGCTCTGCCTGCCTCCTCTGACCGCACGTCCCTGGTCCATACCCCGTACTGCCGTCCAGTGCAGCCCTGCGCTATGGATTTTGAATTTCTCTTGCAAATTGGTCACCTGACTGCGCTGACCTATGAGAAGTGCCGCGCTGACCAATGAGTGCTTGCAATTTATGAGCGGAATTAAAAATCTGGACAGCAGTATGGGTACGGACAGTACACCCGTACCAGCAGAGAGAAGGAACGGTCACCAAAAGGTGACTATAGTGTGTGGGCGGAGAGGGGGCCAAATTTAACGGTGAATTCCATTTTCCCAAAATACTTGGGAAAGTGAACTAACCCTTTAATTTGTGTTTTTGGGCTTAGATACGCTTTAAAACAGTAACACCCTCCTATGAATGAAGAGTCTGCTTATACAAGCGTAAAATACCCCTGGAGCTGTTTACTGGGAGGTGAACACTAACAGGAGGTCAACACCCAAAACCTCTTCACCTGACTATACTTCTAAAATACCTTTCAAGGGCCCTCTACTACTCCACAGGTGCATCTATTTCCATGGAAGGATACAAGACCTGCAAGGGCAAAGCACTGGAAGCTGAACCCTGGGATAAGCAAATATTGTCTTCATACAAGTGTCATGTGTATCCTCATTGATTCTTGGTGAGCTTTGTGTATTTCTTCCAGATCTGTGCAGTAATCCAGTGTAAGCTTCCTGTAATAAAGACCAGTCACTGCTGCTCTCTCTCCTTGTGCAGGGTGACTGGTCTTGTCTACGCCCCCTCCTGTAATAAAGACCGGTCACTGCTGCTCTCTCCTTGTGCAGGGTGACTGGTCTTGTCTCTGCCCCCTCCTCAGAGCCGTCTTTAATGCAGGGCAAAAGGGGTAGCTGCCCAGGGCCCAGTCATTGTTGTGGGGCCCAAAGGGCAGCTGCCAAAGGTGGCTTTTGCAAATGGATAAGGGATAGGAAGCCTGCCAGGTGAGGGGACTACAGCCTGAATCAGGGCAGCATGAACAACCTGTAATAATAACTGGTCACTGCAGCTCTCTCTCTCCTTTTGCCGGGTGACTGGTCTCGTCTCCGCCCCTCCTGTAGTTTTCTGTTGTGGGTGGGGCCTGGTGAGCCCCTCCCACAGCTCTGCTTAGGCTATGTACAGCGCAATGATGATGTCACCGCTACTTTTCCTAGGTGATATCTGGGTTTACAAAGGCATTTGCTGCACATAAACTGGATTTGCATCCTTTGTGTCTATAGAGGAATATATTTAAATGGACCTTTTTATACCTGGAGCTTTAAGAAAAAGAAAAAAAAGAAGCGGATGAAGAAAAAGGGATCTAAAAAGTCTCATTATATTTCTGTCTTAAAAAAAAATATTTTTTGAAATATTTTTTTTTAACAATTTCCCCCAACTGAACGTTCAGTTTAAAATCAGCTAAACCAGCGCGGAGACAACACTGGGCCATGAGTGTGGAAATCCCAGTATTTGTTTACAGCAAACATTGACACAATATTTTTTTAAGTGTGACATATTACAAACATGACTTAGCAGCTGCACAAGGTGAACCCTAATCAGGAGTGTGAACCCAGACACAGGCAAGGAGCTCAGGACTGCAGATCTGATCATTAACAATGCTGAATACTACACAGCTGCTGCCAGTCCCTGATCTCCAGGGTGGCTGGCACAGTCACAGCTGGTGTGTCTTCCATATTGTGTCCTCCTGCAACTTTGTATCACTTGTAAAGTTTCATCCAACTCACCTACAAGGACTCCCAGGAGGAAGATGACAGCCAGAGAGAATATGACCACCACACAAGTGCGCTTCAGCCCCTTCTTCCTGGCCATGATCACACTTGGCTTGCTTGTCTCGTCTCTTCTGCGATCTCTGCATGAAACACACCATGAGAAAGTGTCACAAGCCAGGGCTTTAATGCTACAGGTGTACTCTGATGACACCTAGTGGTACAAACTGGTAATGCCGCGTATTCTGTATACCTGATGGGCTAGCCCCATTCAAGGTTATAGTGACACTAAACTCACTTAAATCTTACAAATTCATTTAAGTGTCTCAACTATTAACAAAAATGCATCTTATTTGTGTATCACTCGGCTGTAGATCCTCAAATCATCTCTGAATTGGTGTTGACACTATCCTTCCTTCTGGAGGGTGGCTACTTTTGTTACCCATGGTCCCTATGTGTGTTGTAAAGTAGTCACCGCTCCAAGCTCGCTCCCGTGATGAAGATTTAACTTCAATACAAATTAGTAAACTAAACGTGAGATTGTAGCCTATCACGGGAGTGAGTTTGGAGTGGTGACTACTTTACAACAAGCACAGAGAGAACATCCAAACTCCTTGCAGATAGTGCCCTGACCTGGATTTGAACCAGGGACCCCCAGTGCTGCACGCCAGAAGCGCTAACTAGCATTTTCAACCCCCATTCACGATTGCCCATTTATGACGGTTTTTGCACATTTGTCGAGAGTCACGCATAGAGCAGTTCATTCATTTCAATGAGATGCCCTACATGCAACAAATGCGGTAAAGAAGCTCATGCACCTTTTTTAGTTTCTAGCAAAATCGCGGTACACACTAGTATTCAGTGATATTGAAGATTTTATTACTCCATATCGAGGGTGACAACACTCAGTCAGATCTGGGGAATATAGAGTACTTCATATCGGGGTGACATCACTCGGTCAGATCTGGGGAATATACAGTAGAGTACTTCATATCGGGGTGACATCACCTGGCGAGGTCTGGAACATGTACAGTACTGTTCATATTGGGGGTGACATTACCCGGTAAGATGTGGGGAATGTAGAGTACTCCATATAGAGAGTAACATCACCCAGAGAGATGTGGGGAATGTTGAGTACTCCATATGGAGGATGACATCACCTGGTGAGATGTGGGGAATGTAGAGAACTCCATACTGGCCAGATTTAGGGAGTGTAGAGTACTCCATATCAAGCGTAACATTATCCAATGAGATCTGGGGAATGTAGACTACTCCACATCGGTGACTTCATCCGGCAAGATCTCGGAAATGCAGAGTACTCCATATTGAGAGTGACATCATCTGGTGTGATCTAGTAAAAGGTAGAGTACTCCATATCGAGGGTGACACCACCCGGGCAGATTTGGGGAAGGTAAAGTATCCCATAGTTAGGGTGACACCATCCGCCTAGATCTGGAGAATGTAGAGTATTCCATATCAAGAGTGACATCATCTGGCCAGCTCTGGGGAGAGGGGGAGATCTGGGGAATGAAGAGTACCCCTTATCCAGGGTGATGTCACCCAACGAGATCTGGGGAAGGTAGAGTACTCCTTATCAAGGGTGATGTCACTCGGTGAGATCTGGGGAATGTAGAGTACCCCTTATCCAGGGTGAAGTCACCCAATGAGATCTGGGGAAGGTAGAGTACTCCTTATCGAGGGTGATGTCATTCGGTGAGATCTGGGAAATGTAGAGGACCCCATATCCAGGGTGATGTCACCCAACGAGATCTGGGGAAGGTATGTAGGTAGGTGCAGTATGGCCAACGGCCACTAGATGCCCCCATGGGGCCCTGGAAATAGATGCAGCTCTGGCCTGGGGGAAACTCTGTGTCCCAGGAGAAGTTGATTTATAGGGGGCGCCCGAGAGGGGAAGTTGAGTTGTGGAGTTCAGTGCAGGAGAGCAGAAGTCTAAGACTATTTGCAGAGTCTCCGGAGGGAGACTGTTTCTTGAACATAGGTTGGTCCATGGGAAGGACAGGACCAGGCCTAGGACTATGTAGAGCTACAAAGATTCCCTAGTTTCCCCATAGGGGGAAACCCACCGTGCTAGGACTGACAATGGATGGCATTACGGAGAATAGTGAAGTGCTAGAAGACTGACGATATTTGCCAGTGGGCCTATGGCCGAAGTAAGACGTGGACTCTGGGCTGCACCTGGGCTGATGTACCTCTCTCTCTCTCTCTAAATTGTATCACTATGCAAGTAACAAGAATTGTGCCGTCATCCCACCCGGGGGTGGCTGATCGTATACTTTGTTTTGTTTATACCTTCAAGTAAAACCAACAAAAAGACTATCTGTGTGGACTGGTTCTTCTCCCTCCAACCTCTGAGAAGGTGGGGTTCTACAGGAGTGTGATGTTGGACTGTATCGTGGCTGTAACCATCTGAGGAGAGTAGGTGCGCAATGGGGCTATGCCTGACACAGGGTGCCATTCATGGTGGCCTTTCTCCCTAAGGGGGAGGAAGCGCCGAAGACCGCAGAGGCGGTTGAAGCCATGAGGCCCTGTGTACGCAGTACTACACGTGTGGGAGTGTTTGCACGAGGCCAAGGCCGTGGCCCCTGACCGTGGGGTGTCTGGTTTCGAGTTGCATGCACGGGGTTACCCAGCCAACCCAAAGGGAACACACACGCAACACCCCAAGAGTGGACCCCGCCTACAGGTAGATTACTCCATATCGAGGGTGATGTCACTCCCGTGAGATCTGGGGAACGTAGAGGACCCCATATCCAGGGTACTGTCAGCCAATGAGATCTGGGGAAAGTAGAGTACTCCTTATCGAGGGTGATGTCACTCCCGTGAGATCTAGGGAACGTAGAGGACCCCATATCCAGGGTACTGTCACCCAAGGAGATCTGGGGAAGGTAGAGTAATCCTTATCGAGGGTGATGTCACTCTGTGAGATCTGGGGAATGTAGAGGACCCCTTATCCAGGGTGATGTCACCTAGGCGAGATCTGGGGAAGGTACAGTACTCCATTGGCGGGCGACGTAGATTTTATAACAACTTTGTCGTGCAGGAACCTGCAGGACTGGTATTAAACTGAACGGATTGAGGTTGGACCTCCTGGCTCTTAGTAAATCCAAGCACTCCTTGACACAAGCAGTAGACTTCACCTCCCTTCTGAAAAGTGGTCCATGTTGCGCTGCTTTTCAGAGTGCGGTAGAGCAGAGATTCCAGGCACCCAAAAGTTGATACTGCTGCCTCCTGAATTCCAGTTTTGCATTACCACCCGCCAAATGCAACATGCCATTTAAAAAACCGCAGATCAACCTCCTGTTGTTACTGCCCCTCAGCAGCATGTATGTGTCTCAATTCATTCTAGTGGCTACAATAGATGAATTTCCTGACCTCATTATCACCATACTATGGCAGCCAGCAGCAAATGACGCTCTTTATCAGCCGGTGGTCTGTGATATGATATACCGACATAGGGATAGGCCAGGAGAGGGAGAAGAAAATTACAGTAAGTAGTAGAAATTTTTTTTTTTTCAATTTCCTGGCCTACTCATGTCAGCATGTCCGAGACCGCCGAGTGAAACGGATCAGCGCTGGCTGCTGCCATGATATGTGCTGACATGAGGATAGGCAGGGACAGGAAAATGAAGGTAAGGAATGAAAACAATTTTCTGAAATTCTAGCCAATAGGGTTTATGTGCGCACACCTCTAAACGCCATGCGAACAGTTATGTGCCAAAACGCACTTTTTTATCCTGGATTTATTTATTGCAGGTATTTATATAGCGCTCACAATTTACGCAGCACTTTACATTCACATCAGTGCCTGCCCTCAAGGAGCTTACAATCTAAGGTCCCTATCTCACATGCATACATACAGGGCCAACTAAAGGTGCCCATACACTGCACGATTATCGTACGATAATCGTATGCGATCGGTTTTTCGTACGATAATCGAGCAGTGTGAACGGAGACGTGCGACCGTTTCTATTGTACGGTCGCACGTCTTCTGTCGAACCAGCATGTTCGAAAACCAGCCGGGAATCGTACGATTCTCGGCTGGTTAGAACGGTGCTCGGAAGATAAATGCTGAACGGGCCGGTGTGCGCACGCGCACACTGCCCGTTCAGCATTGCGGTCATCGGAAGCCCGCCCCTCAGGGGGGTGGGCTTGCGATGATCGAGAGTGCGATCTGCCTGTCCAAGATAGGCAGATCGTACGTTTTTTTAATCCCTTTACAACCATCGCAAGACTAAAGTCTTGCGATGGTTGTAGAGTGTATGGCCACCTTTAGACAGGAGCCAATTAACCTTCCAACATGTCCTTGGAGTGTGGGAGGTAAACAGAGTACCCGGAGGAACCCCCCCCCAAGCACAGGGAGAACAACCAAACGCCATGCAGATTTTTTTTGCAGGTTTCTGCCACAAAGATGCAACTTAGATGGAAATATTGTAATACACCCGTGCACATGAGCCCTTATCACAATACTGTGAGCACAACTAACGATAAGTTTAGTACACATTAAATTAAAGCAATACTAACAAAAGCGCACACAAAGTCATGATGGAATATTACCTTTCAGTTTCACGATTCATCCTGGTCCAAACAAACAGAGGAGCGACGGTCAGGGTCATGTATATCCGTCCACTTCTCAGCTACATAGATTAACAGACAATGCTAATTGGTAAGAGAAGATTGTTGATGGTACTGGCTGGGCTGTGTTTGGACATCATGCGTCTCCAGACACACCTAAATAACGATGTCTAATTGCACAAGCTCCACCCCTTGTGTCATCTCTTGTTTTAGTAAAAACGAATGCAAGAATTCAACAACGGTATTGGTTTAAACTGGGACTTTAGCTGTATTATTGACTTTCCAGACTATCAGACCCATAAAAATAGTATTTATTTTGTTATATAATTAAAAATGATTATTTAACGACAGTTGCATGAGAGAGGAGGGGACCTGGCGGCATACCTTATCTCTCCGGATGAACGTCCCCTCTGCTCTTTGCCAAAATGGCCGCCGGCAGGTAAGCACCCATAACGTTGTTACCGCTGGCCGCTCTGGGTGACACCATGGCCTGGGGTCACCAGAACCAGTGTCCCCATTGGAATATTTCCATCTATTCCTGATCTGGTGA